GGGGGGGGGGGGGGGGGATGCGGCCCGAGCAGGGCAGGTGGCTTGCAGAAAGCCTGGCAGCAAAGCTGCAATGAGAACACAAAACTCCCGATACCCAGCACAGCCTGCAGCCCTCTGCCCCCCAGAGGCGGGTGCTGCACAGAGGGCTGCACCCCAGCCCTGAGGTCCAGAACGGGGGTCTTGAGTGATAGATGTCCCTGAGAAGAGCTATCCCTGCACTGGACTGACCTCCATTCCCATGCTCCCCCCTCTCCCCCGCAGCCCCCAGAACTGGCTGCACAGCGATGGCAGCTGAGGGGGGCCTGCCTCACCGCCGACTCCTGCCTCGCTGAGGAGGGATGGGGGAGCATCACCTCCCTGGCTCGGAGTGCACAGAAGAGCCATACGGCACCCCCCCCAAAGAGCTTGGCACCCAGAAGGAGTCCTAGCCATTGAGTAGGTGCTGACTGAATGTTAAGAAGAAATGACCAACGAATGAGTAAGCCAAACCAAGCAGCACTGACCCGATGCAGGCCGTGGTGGACAGTGCGGCCGGGCCCGAGGACGTTAGAAGTGGTTGCACATCATCTCCCCTTCTCAAGGGCATGTGTGTGTGTTTGGATAATAACAATAATATAGCTAATAGGGCCCTAGCTGATTTGGCTCAGTGGATATAGCATCAGCCTGCAGATGGAAGGGTCCCAGGTTCAATTCCGGTCAAGGGCACATGTCTGGGTTGCAGGCTTGATCCAACGTGCAGGAGGCAGCCAATCAATGATTACCTCTCATTGTTGATGTTTCTACCTCTCTCTTCCTCTCTGAAATCAATAAAAATATATTATATATATATATATATACATATACATACATATATATATATATATATGTATGTATATGTATATATATATATATATAATATATTTTTATTGATTTCAGAGTACACACTTTATATATAATAATTATTTTAATCCTGACAAAAATCCTGTAAGAGGCACAGAGAGGTTAAGGAACTTGTACTTGTGGAAGGTCACACAGTAATGGTAGAGTCAGGATTTGAAACCCAGGCAGTCTGGCTTCAGAGCCTTGACCACGAGACAGTTGAAAAGCTAAGTGCTGGCTTCAGATTTGTGTACTTGGCTGCATGCGAGCGTCGCCTCCCTCGGCCCTCCAAAAAAGAAATGGAGAAGCAGACACTGAACTCCAGTCAATGATAAACATGGCAAAGAGATTAGAGATGGAATGTACTGGTGTTTACAATTTTGAAAGGTATCCAATAATGAGATAAACAATAAGTGATAAAACAAATGTAGAAAAACGCTCATTGTAGACTCTAGGTGGTAGGGATATGTGCACTGTTCAATTCTTTCCATTTTTCTCTATTTAAACTTTTTAATAATAAATCTTTTTAAATATATATTTTATTGATTTTTTACAGAGAGGAAGGGAGAGAGATAGTTAGAAACATCAATGAGAGAGAAACATTGATCAGCCGCCTCCTGCACACCTCCCACTGGGGATGTGCTTGCAACCAAGGTACATGCCCTTGACCGGAATCGAACCTGGGACCCTTCAGTCCGCAGGCCGACGCTCTATCCACTGAGCCAAACCGGTTACGGCAAATCTTTTTTTTTTTTAATGAAACTGAATATTGTCCTCCTGTCCTGCAGTAGGGAGCACTGTGGAGGGAGAGAGGGAGGAAGTAGCAGAAAGTTTCTGAATTTGGAGAAGAAAATGCAAATGCACGTGGACTCAGGCACCACATCTCCTGAGCCCTGGCCTACACATGAGCTCCCCAGTCTCCGCCTCCTCAGGAACCGGCTGCAGTCCTCCAGCACGGCCTCCCCTCCACCCAGGGCGCCAAGAGGCCTTCCTCCAGCCTCTGCCCAGAGGGCCTCAGACCACTGCCCTTGCTTATCTTTGTGCCTAACCTGAGAATGCTGCCTCCGGCAGGAAGTCCACCTGGACGGCCATCCCTCCTTTCCGAACACTAACCAGTCACCAACCCGAGATCTAAGAGCAGTGCCCATTAGACTTAGTCCGGCTGCCTTTGACTTTGTGGTTTGTAAATCAGTCAACCATGCACCGAGAGAGAGAGAGAGAGAGAGAGAGAGAGAGGGAGAGAGACTCCCAGACACCGGGTGGTGCAGGAGCCAGGTGTGTGTCCACCATACACCGAGTCACGAGCTTCAGCGGAGCAGTGTGGGAAGTCATGGGAAAGTCAGTCAGGGAAGCCCCTGAGGAGGCGAAGTCACCGGCTCCCTCAGGGTCAGTAGGACGGCTGGAACCCAGAGGGTGCTCCATCCCAGGGGTCTGAAAGGAAGGATGTCCTAACCCTCACCCTCGAAGCCCAAATTCCTCCCTAACGAAAGGTGCCGGGAGACACCAAGGCTGAGGGAGAGGCTGAAGCCAGAGGCGGTGGAATGCCTTAGTGAGCGCTTGCTTCCCCAGGCAGCTCTGCTGTGCTGTCGTCTAGAGTCGCCCTCCGCCCCCACCCCCCACCCCGCCTGCAGGCCACGGCTCCGGCTCCGGGTGAGCTGGGAGAGAGCAGGGACCCTTGGCAGGGAGAGCGGACCGACACCAGACTGAGATGAGGCTATGAGGGGCGGGAGAGCATGGCTTTGAGGCTCCCTGGGCCCCAGAGGAGACCTGCCAGCCTCCGTCTCGGACCCCTCCAAAGTGAAAAGCAGCCCCCTCCTGCCCTCCTCCCCCTGTGGCCGCCCGGGGCCTCCTGCCACCTGGGCTGCCCCCCCCCCCCACCCCCCCACAGCA